GTCAACAAATGGACCTTTTTCTTAGTTTTAATGAGGGTATCTCAACAGGTTCTAATATTAAAAAATTAATAAACAGTTCTTTCGCTGTCTACTTATTCACGACATTTAAATGGTTTCTAGTTTGGTCTGCATCTTAGTTTGAAAGAGCGATCCGATGGGGATTAATCTACTTTTACTGAGTGACTTGTTAACCGGTTAACTCTAATAGAAACTAAGTAAGAATATTAAGTTAGCTGGATAATTAGGAATGGATCTTGGTAATTTTTGACTTATCTGAGTTGTGCCAACGGTTATCAAGATCCAATAAACTTATATGGATTGTTCTTTTGTAAACTGCATAATTAATAGTGTAAATAGGAATGTAGACTTGTTAATCGGTTAACTGTAATTAACTAAGAATATTGCTTGCATAAAAAGAAAACGAGAATGGATATAAGTTAGTTGGTTAATTATGATTGGAACTTAGTACTATTAAACTTATCTCAGTTATGAAAACATTTAGCAAGTAACAAATCTTTTTTATGAATTGTTCTTTTGCTAACTGTTTAACTACTAACGTAAATAGAAATATAGTCAAAGCAGGTTGCTATTAAAAGCAATGGGGCTAGTCCCCTTCTCTTTAATAGTAAACAGAATAACCGCAAATTGAATAGTCTTAATGTATGTGTTGACATGGTCACTCAATAGCAAGTGCTTCCCCGTGTTTTTCGACAAAACTATAGCAAGCTTTTGTGCTTCCCCAACTAGCTTTTCAGGTGTGAGACACTGGCAAGCTTCAACACCTACCCTCGAATGATATTGTATTAGTAGAACCGCAGCCACCGAAGCATTTAACAAGGTTGCCGTTCTGAAGGATCCCTTTTACCCTATACATGAAGAGGTGTTTTATAGCTGATGAAGTGATTTGGTTGGCAATGTACATGCTCATTTGTGCAATCGGGTTGAGTTCATTCCTAAGCAGTGTGTCCGACCAGTAGGAGAAACTTTAACCATTCAATAAATAAAAATTACTTCACTACATATCTCCTGAAATCACTAATTAAATGAGAAAAACCTGACAGTGAAGGAAATAATTATCAAGTTAAAACATATAGAATTCAGTACGACAAATTTTATCCATCCAAAAATTAAAATACACTTCTCTATAAAATCTCTAATATTGCTAAATGTCTATGGAGGATAAAACCTGACAGTGCAGATTATACTTACCTGGTTAAAAATAAAAGTAGCGACCAAACCAAAAAAAATCCATTTTTCCTGTATATTGCCCGGTAAAATGTAGAGTTAGACACCTAACAATAAATATAACCATCTAAAACTACGATTTATTTTCCTACATAACAAGAGCTTATACAAATAAGGTTTTCGGCACAAAGCACCCAGATCTCGTGTTTCTTAGCAACTTTAAGTTGTCTCAGAATGATGAATCTAAGAAATCTACCGGAGAAAGATAGTTTTTCTGGTAAAGGGTAATAAGTTTGCCAAATGGAGACATCCTCAAGATCTCGAGCGCATTATCCTCCAACGCGTTTACAATTGATTTTAGGGTGGTTTACTAGAATGACCTTGTCAAGCAAAGATTTGGACTAGAATGACCTCTATCTTTGAATATTATTAGAATGACCTTGAAAATTTTTTAATTCCTATGTTAACCTTATTTCATTTGAAGACAAAAAACGTATTTACGAAACTGCCATTAATGAAGCAGAAATTTTTTCCCGCCAAAATTAAATAAGTCTACCATTCTGTTACGGTAGACTTATTAAACGTCTGGTAGACTTATTACGGTGTACGCGATGGTAGATTTATTTATAGTTGTGGTAGATTTATAATATGTGGTAGACTTATTCGTAGTACTGGTAGACTTAATTTTGGGATCGGTATACTTATTTGTAGTAGTGGTAGATTTATAAAGTGGTCGGTAGACTTATTACGGTGCAGGCAGTGGTAGACTTGTTTATAGTAGTGATAGACTTATTGTAAGTAGTGGTAGACTTATTGTAAGTTGTGGTAGACTTATTGAGTAGTTACGGTAGAGTTATGCGTTGTAGTGGTAGACTTATTTATAGTTGTGGTAGATTTATTTTTGAGTGATAGACTTATTAGTGGTTGTGGTAGATTTATTGTTGTGATTGGTAGACTTATTAATGGTTCGTGCGATGGTAGACTTATTTATAGTTATGGTAGATTTATTTGTCAGTGATAGACTTATTAGTAGTAGTGGTAGACTTATTGATGGTTTGCGCGATGGTAGACTTGTTTATAGTATTGGTAGATTTATAAGATGTGGTAGACTTATTTGTAGTACTGGTAGACTTAATTTTATGATCGGTAGACTTATTTGTAGTGATGGTAGATTTATTTTTTTGATTGGTAGACTTATTGATGTTTAGCGATGATAGACTTATTTATAGTAGTGGTAGATTTATAATATCTGATAGACTTATATTTAGTGGTAGTAGACTTAATTATGGTTTCGCCCTATGGTAGACTTGTTTAAAGTTGTGGTAGATTTATTAAATTTGGTAGACTTATTTGTCTTTGTGGTAGACTTATTAAATCTTTTCAGAGTTTTACTAGAATGACCTTACTTAATTACAGTTGTGGTAGATTTATTTATAATAGTGGTAGATTTATAATATGTGGTAGTGGTAGATTTATAATATGTGGTAGACTTATTTGTAGTAGTGGTAGACTTATAATATTTATTTATAGTAGTGGTAGATTTATTCAATGAATGACAAAATCGTAATTTACCCTTCATCTTRTCCAACACACCCAAGCTTATGTCAAACCCTAACAATGGCGGCCAACTCATTTTTAGCTCGTTTTTGCTGTGTTTTAATTTGTTTTCAACTGGGTTTAGCCTAAAACTAGTAGATCTAACATCATATATTCATTTTCTAACAAAAAATCAAAA